ATGGGTGCATTCTATATATGACAATATTATAGCAATGAACTGGTAAAGTATCACGTCTTTCATTATGAATCGTGTCCCATACGCTTTGGGTATATGATCAATTATATATGCTGTAATATTCGACCGTTCTAAAATTTTTCAAATGCTTAGGGCATTAAGAGGGAAAAGGGACTAGAACCGGATTTGTCTAAAATAAAAATATCATAAATAAATGACTACTTTTGTAGCTATATCAAAGTGAAGGGAGAGAAATGAGAATGTAAAATGAATCTGTAAAATGAATATATACGTTTTAAAATGGTCAACGTTTGTCATGTCAAATAGGGCATCATAACAACTTCGGGTGTGAATAAAATTCCCTTATCAAAATCAAAAAGAAAAATAAAATTTTGTATTTTTTTTTTTTATGATTTTTATAATAAAACTAATACAAATTGAAGGGGGAGAAATGAGAATGTAAAAGGAATCTGTAAAATGAATATATACGTTTTAAAATGGTCAACATTTATCATGTCAAATAGGGCATCATAACAACTTCGGGTGTGAATAAAATTCCCCTGTCAAAATCAAAAAGAAAAATAAAATTTTGTATTTTTTTATGATTTTTATAATAAAACTAATACAAAATGGAATGTTCATATTATTTAACAAAATATGTTATCTTATATATGGATTCGTTGGTTCAATCGGTCAAACCGGTCGGACCGATCTCAAAAACTATATACCGGTTTAACCGAACGGGTTTCTATAGGTTCAACCGGTTTTTACTAATTCGCAGCATGAACGGTTTTTTGGCCTCTAAGAACCGGAACGCCCAATTAAAAACCGACTGAATTGGCTGGTCTAGTCCGATTTCCAAAACACGGGTATATATGAACACAACTATATACATATTAAGTTAAATTACGCGTTGGCTCTTCTACAAAGGGGTGTTGCTCTTCCTTCTTCCTCTTGCCAGTTTTGTGATTTCCGATCATATTCCACTGACCATGTTTTAGTGGGTTGCCCTTTCACTCAGGAGGCCTCCTGGATTCTCAAATGTGATCAAGGAGGTCATTACTTTTGCATCAAGTTAGGGTTGATGCCCTAATAAAAGAAAGATTCGAGGGGGGATCATATATGATCTCCTGAGGACCATTTGGAAGGCAAGAAACTAAATAAAATTTTCAACAAGATTCATGTAAACCCCTTAAAATCGGCGGACAACATCTTCTCTATGGTATTTCAATGGATTAATTTTAGGGGTACTTTTGGCGTTTGTGAATGAACTGTTGTCCTTAAATATTTTGTAAGCTTTTTTCCTGCCTTCTTTCTCTTTGCCATAGAAGTTGTTTATAAAATTTCTTATCGTTTCAAAAAAATAAAAAGTAACATTACTGATTACACCTCCCATGTTTTGATGAATGGCAAAATAAATAATGTAAAAGAATTTGGTAAAGGAGTTTCTTGTATCCACCCCGTAATTCTCCTTGTTACCATCTTTTTTGTGTTTTTTTTAAATCTTTGTTTTTTTTTTTGTTGTCTTTTATGTTTTTTTTAGTATTTTTAATACATACATACTATTATTATTGTGTTTCGTTTGCATTATCAGTGTGTATCTTTTGTATTCAGATTATCCATGTCTTTATTTTTTTTGTTTGGATTATATATTGTTATTATTTTGTTGCAATTTTCATAGCCGTTAAATAGAACCCACGTATGAATATACATATAATTATTTATAATTTTTTTTAACACAAGGATACTCCGGACGAAAAAAATAACATAATGATAATCGGAATGAAAAAAATTAATTTAAAATTAAAAATTAAAAAGACATCAAATCAAATATATTATTTTTAAATAATAATAATAATAATAATAGAAAACAATAAAAGAAACAAAACAAAATAACCAACAAAATAACAAAACATGTAAAATCAAAATAGATTAAAGAAAACAAAAAAACAAAAAATGGAATACATGGAAAAATTTCAAGCATTAGGCCATCGGGTATGTTCATATTGTAGTTACAAGTGAAAATGATTCACATATCATAACGATTATGCTTTTTTCACAACACATTTATTATTGTTTGGGGATGGTGTTCATCACCGGTGAGCAAAAAAGAGAAATCAATAAGAGTTTGGAATTAAGCTAGCCGCTCCACACCTACCTCCATTGGGGGGTGCTGTTTAATAATGAACATCTTCTCTATATAGAATTTGTATGCATGAAAATACATCAATACCTCATGCCATTAAAATATATACATACGCCCCCAACATCCTTTCGTAAAACCCGTAAATCAAAACACATATTGATGACTGTTGTTGATATGAGAAAAATATGATAAAAAAGATAAAAGTTAAAACAACGATGATGACACTAGGCAATTATCAATCGTCAACAAGTTTGATCATATATATATATATATATATATATATATATATATATATATATATATATATATATATATATATATATATATATATATATATATATGGAAATCTCTAATAAAGTCCTAAAGTTTTGACCCGCTTTACGTTTTAGTTCTAAACTAATTTTTGTTTACGAAAAAGTCCTAAAAACTGGCAAAAGTATACATTTTGACCATTTTTGACCGGTTGGAACCGACAAAAAATTAATTTGGGACTATTTGATAAACTGACCTAAAATATTGGGATTATTTCACAAAATCACCCAAAATATTTGGACTTTTCTGCAAAAAAAAAATATTATGACTTTTCTGCAATCAAAAATCATATTATTATTATTATTATTATTATTATTATTATTATTATTATTAAAAATATAAACAAGTATACTAATTTTTAAATTCATTATTATTTATATTTTTAATAATACATATAAATACACTTAAATAAAAAATATATTAAAGAAATTATTTAAAGGTGAAGGTGGTGGTGATGGTAATGCTTTAGACCATTAGGTATGGATCCGTTGTGGTAGTGTTATAACAAGAAGCAACAAGAAGAGGGGATGGTGTTTATGGTGTTATAACACCATGTTAAGATGAGAGAGATAATTTGACAGCCAATAGAAGTGCTCGTTTCTTCTTGTCATGAAGACAACAAGAAGCACCACAACAAGATGCAACAAGAAGGAGGGGGGGTGTTCTCCGCCGTCACAACACCGTTGAGGGTCCCACCTCAGCACAACGAGCATGCTACAATGCCCATACTGTCTGCTCTTAAGCATTGAAATCATGAATATATGTTTGTATGTCCTCACTTTGTATATGATAATTTCAAATTTTTTATTATTGTTTTCAATTTAAAATATTAACACTTAACAATTAAAAAGAAGTTATCTATTTGTAAAATTGTGTATAAATAGTTTAAGATAAAAGGATATTTCACTTTGTATATAAAATTTCTTAAGGTAGAATGTTTTTTTTTTCAAATCCAACAGATCTACAATAAATATTTACATTGGTGGCTCATATCAAAATTCGAAAATATTAATTAAAATATCTTATTTAATAAAAAGTAATATGACTTGTTTTGCTTTATCACACTATATCTGCTATGTTTCGAAAAAAAACCACAAGGATAAAGTAATGAAAAAGAGCAACACTCATGTTGGTAGTGCAAATACTTACACACAAGACATACACGTATATCACATGCTCATTATTTGTAAAAAATTTGAAAAATCAGTAGGTTCTTTTAAATTGTTAAATGTTAATATTCTGAATTTAAAAAATAATAATAACAAATGTGAAATGATCATATATAAAGTTAAAATATACAAACAGACATTCATGATTTCAAAGTTTAAAACATAATATCCGCTCAACCTTTACATTTATAAAATATCTTTAATATTTTTTTAATTTAAATGTATTTATATGTATTATTAACAATATTAACAATAACAAATTTAAAAAATAGTATACTTATTTATATTTTTAATGTAATAATTATAATAATAATAAGGTTTTTGTTTGGAGAAAAACCCTGATTTTTTTTTTTTTTTTTTTTTTTTTTTTTGTAGAAAAGTCCCAATACTTTGGATCAATTTATGAAATAATCTCAAATTAATTTGTTACCAGTTTCAACCAATGAAAAAGTGTCAAAATACAAACTTTGACGGTTTTTGAGACTTTTTCGTAAACAAAAAATAGTTTATAACTAAAATATAAACTGGGCTAAAATTTTAGGATTTTATTAGAGATTTCCCTATATATATATATATATATATATATATATATATATATTATATATATATATATATATATATATATATATATATTAGAGAGGGAAGAAGGAAATTTTCGGTAGGAATGTAAGAATTTTTTTTCTATATATTTTTTTGACGAACAAAATAAATGAATCACTAGATGATTCATTTGTAAGATTATTCACAAGAAAAAATTCTCAAAAAAACATCTTTATGATTTATTTTTAAGTAATTAAGAAAAAATTCATTTTTATGACAATTTTACTGAATAACAACAAAATCATTGTATAAATAAATCATCGAGAGATTTTTTAAAATTTTTTTTTCTTGTGAATCATCTTACAAATGAATCATCTAATGATTCATTTTGTTTCTTTGCGAAAAATATATATAGAAAAAAACTTATTACCTTCCTACCAAAAATTTCCTTCTTATTTGATCTTATTATATATATATATATATATATATATATATATATATATATATATATATATTTGAAAATTAACTTACACTGTTCCAAAAAAAAAGTTATAAATATAAAATTTTAAGACAAATATCTGTATAAATTTGAAAATTAACTTACACTGTTCCAAAAAAAAAAGTTATAAATATAAAATTTTAAGACAAATATCTGTATAAATTTGAAAATTAACTTACACTTTTCCAATATATATATATATATATATATATATATATATATATATATATATATATATATATAATATATATATATATATATATATATATAAGACAAACCTTCAATGATCTATATTACAACTTTACAAGTGTCTAATTAAAAAACACGATTACTTGAAATAAAATTTGATTTTCTAACCGAACCTCTTATTTAGTAAATAGCATTCTATAAACTTATTATAATACAGATTATTAAATGGTAAAATCTGAAAATATGTTTTCAAAATAAAAATTATTTTCTTCAAAAGGAAACGCGGTGCAGATGACGCACTCAGGCAGGCGGTGGTGGAGCGATTGTACAGTTCGAAATTCGTCCTTGCACCGCCGGCGGCGGCGGCGGCGGTGACTGAATACTACGGTACCTCGGTGTTGGACTTAGCTTTGGTGCCGGAGGTGTCGGCTTGGGTACCGTGCGTAAATTTGGAGCTGTGCTCCGCATCTGTGTCGTTGATGGTGGCGGAGGTGGATCAGAGAACATATAATGCGGAGCTCCACTTAACTTAGGCGCCGGTGGTGGTGGCAGCTTTCTAAGCTTCCTCCTACCGGAAACTACAGTTCCTGTAGAAAATTCTGCATTCATCGTTGAAGTCTGATCTAAATCGATGGAAACTACGGAATTAAGTATTGGAAGCAATAGATTTACCTGGATCTGGTTCGATTAATGAAGCCGAGTTTGCTTGAAGAAGATGATCAAGTACCAGAATCAGAAGCAGTATAGCTACTCGTTTTGCGTATAAGGCATTCATAGCCATAGCTGGATCCTTGTCCCTTGACCCCGGTTTTGATGTGTTTGGATATACACAGTACTTTATACTTTTATATATAGTGAATAAATATCCGAAGAATTAATTCTTGTGGGGCAATGTCACAGTACCCTAGAGATAAATTATAAATAGTAAAAAAAATTTGTTAATTTTTCGATGACACCTCTACATTAATTCGTCAATTTACAACGTGGAAATTCATTCTAAAATACATGATATCAAGAAGTAGTTTAGAAGTCGTTTAAAAAAAATCTTTTCATAAATATTTTATGAGACTCATCAATCTAATAAAAATATTAAGTAAATGTTATAAAAGGGTTAATGAATGACCTATCATGGTAATAAGATTTCAATTTTGTTTATATCAAATCCTAAAGTTTTTTTTATACATATTACAATAAAGTGTTTATTATAGTTGTTTAAATGTAAGATTTTAACTCAAGTCCATAAAATCGTTTTTATACATATCACATCAATATGGTTGTTATAACCGTTTAAATGTAACATTTTAACGGTTATAACAATCATTTTGATGTAATATGTAAATAAAAAAAGGACCTAATGTAGATAAAACTTTATTATCTTCTTAAGTCCTTAACCATTAGAAGCTTTTAAAATAATTACATAAATAAACCTTATGATTTACAAAAAAAATAATAATAAATAATTTAATTTTAGTAACAAATTCTTTAAAATCCAAAATTTGATTTAGTTTCCAAAAATGTAGTTAACTTTTTTTGAAAATAATTGATCTATACTAAGTTATACATTCAAACAATAGGTTTCATTTATATTTGAATCTAACACTTTAAGAGTAATATTTATAAATGGTTTATGTGGTTTTCAAAAGTATCAAATTGAGTTTTTGTGGTTTTAATTTTTATCGTGATATACATTTTTTCCTCCTTCTCGGATGGTTTTTTCTCCAAATATCACTCGTGTAAGCCTTCATCAACCCATCCCTATTAGGCGCCACTCAACCCTTCTTTCCCACTACAATTCTTCTTCCTTAATGCTTATTTGGCTTAGCTTTTGATATGTCAAAAGTTTTTTTAGAAAAAGATCCAAAGTTAAAAGATATTTAGTAAAAGATTTTTAAAAACAACTTTTGGATTTTGGATAGAAAAAAAATAACTTTTTGAAAAAGTTAGGAAAATCTAACTTTTTGTAACTTTTTCGAAAATGACTTTTGTCCTCTAAAAAACTAAGTCAAACACCCCCTTACATTTCCCCCGATTAAAATAGATTTGTTGGTAGAAGTAGGAGAATGTAACAGAAACAGATGATGTCGTAAAAAGAAGAGACTGGAGGGATTATGGCTTTATAGAAACAATTAGGTTTTCACGGTGGTTTGTACTTTTTTTTTTTTTTTATTTATTTATTTTTTTTATATTGATATTGCTAACTTCATTTTCATTTTCAGGTTGGTTCCAAAAGGAATGAAAAGCAGGTACCGTTAATCCTAATTAACCCTTATTTCCCTTTGAAAAGCAAATCACCACAGGTCAGTTTAATTTTGATTTTTTAGCTGGGGTTTTTGTTGATCATTCCTATCTCGAACTACATTGTTTTGTTAGTTGTGACGAAGTTGTATTGCGTAGATTCCATCTCGCTATGATGTTATCTCAATGTATTTTTGAAAATTTTACAATTTAATTTAGTTCAAAATAATTTAATCCAATTAACAGCTATTAGATTCGCGAACCTAACTATTTACGACTATGTATTTATCATTTGAACTACAAAGCGGATTACCACCAAAAAAGACGCAGGAGTGATGGACGGGTGGACAGAAGTTCGCCAAAAAAAAACCGGTGGCCATCAGCAAGACAATAACAACGTATTTTGTCACAAACATATCTGGAGAATCGAGAAAAGGAGATGTTAGGAAAACCTTCGAGAGATTTGGCAACCTTACAGACATCTACATGGGGCAAAAACTGGGGAAAATGGCAAACATTATGCATTTGTCCGATTCAGAGGAGTCGGAGACGTTAAAGAGCTAGAAAGAAAATTGGATGGACTGAAGATAAGAGGGAAGACCCTGAGGGTAAATATTGCCCTGCATGAGAGAAAAGAACCACCCAGGAAGCAGCGAGACAATGAAACAGGAAACAGAGTGACGGGAGGTCATGTGAACAACAAAGGAGAAAAGGCATCAAGAATCGGAATTGGAACCCGTGACCATCGAACCTACGCAGACCTGCTGAGACCAAGAGATGTTGCCAGCAATGTCAGATATGCAACAGAACCCCCTGGACCTCCATTACCAACCCCTATCACTTTACAACGCGATCCGGTTACCCACAGCTAACACTGGAACATGAGCCTCTCAAAGAACTGGAAACCGGTGATTGAAAAATTACAATCAAGACTGAGTACTTGGAAATCGAAATCCTTATCGATCGGGGGTCGGCTAACACTAGCCAAAGCTATTCTGGGTAGCCTTCCAACATTTTACTTTTCCTTATTTGTTGCTCCAGCAGGTGTTATCAAGACTTTGGAAAAAATAAGGCGAAGGTTCCTATGGGGTGGTGCGGATGAGAAAAAACACATCAACTGGGTGGCATGGGATAAAGTGACTGCCCCCAAAAAAGTTGGCGGTCTGGGATTAGGCTCGCTTAAAGCTCTTAATTTGTCCCTAATAGTGAAATGGTGGCGGAGGCTAAGATTCGAAAAAGCAGGCTTATGGTCCAATGTCATAAAAGGGATCCATAATCTTCACAATAAACCTTCTGCCCTCATGTCTAAAAAAAATACCTGGAATATGGAAAAATATCGTCGGAGCTCAAGATGAACTAGCGAAACTTGGAATTGATATAAATGATATAATCTCAAAAAAAATTGGTAATGGGGATGACCCCATGTTTTGGCAAGACAGATGGATTGGCGAAGCAACATTAAAGGAATCCTTCCCAGAGCTATACAAGTTGGAACGGAAAAAACGGTGTAAAATAAGTGATCGTATCAAACCAGGAGGGATCATCTGGGATTGGAAATCAAGTCCGACTCTCACGACCCAGCTTAGTGAGGCTGACACACTATTCGACATGGTCCGCAATATTCACCTGAATCCACGAAGAGATGAATGGATATGTGATATATCAAGTGATAAGGTATTTCATGTAGACGTTCTTAGATCAAAAATTGATGGGAGAGATACAGTGACACCAACAGGGGAATGTCTAATAAATTGGATCCATGAAGTCCCGCTAAACGTGAACTGTTTTATGTGGAGGGTATCTATGGACCGTATCCCCACTGCTACTGCCCTGCTTAAGCGTGGTGTACAAATTGGGACCTCTATATGTTCATATTGCGAGTCGGAAGATGAAGACATCAACCATGTAATACTAAGATGCCCAATGGCTTCCAAGGTTTAGGAATGGGTGTTCATCTGGTGTGGGCTACCTGGAAGAAAGTTTGGGTCAATTGGTGAGCTTGTGAAATTCCTTTCACAATGGGTAACATGCCCAAATAAACGGAAAAACTTAATTAGCATATGTTATGGAATGGCTTGGCTCATTTGGAAAGCAAGGTGTGATCACGTTTTCAAGAAGACTCGAACCTCCCCTACCATAGTGGCGGATATGGTCAAATCCATAGTCTTCTCATGGATAAAACACACGAGAGTCAATTGTAACTATTGTTGGGTCGATTGGTGTATTAATCCCTTTCTTTGTATGCAATGTTCTCCTCAAAAACCTTGTATTTCCCCCCTAGCACCTTGCTAGGGGTATGTTTTGTTTCTTCTTAATAATATTTGTCGGTTCCAAAAAAAACTATTTACGACTTTGTTTGACCACCTCCACGACCTTTAATAATTAAGATGCAATTAGGCAAAGAGCATCGGTGGTGTATATAATTAATCAAACTTAGTTGCTTCCTAAATCAAGTTGACTTTATTTATTTAGTGGGTTTGGTACTTTCAAATAACAAAAACCAAAAACTAAAAGGTTAAACTAGTAGACAAGATTTGAGGTTTTACCATAAGGACAATTAAATAAACTAACCTAATTTTAATGGCACACAATGATTTTTTTAAAGTAACCAAGTTCAGAACACTCAGTTCCAGAGATCCGGTCATCCGAATGGTGAATCCGGCTCGTTACTAAGGTCACCTCTATATATAGGCATAACTTTTCGAAATTTAGCTTCAATATTAGATTTTGGACTTAAAGCATTGTCAACTTCGGATATTTCGAGTTTTTCTATGTTTTAATGTATTTTTTCTTTTACGTTTTTGTGTTTACTTTTATATATTTTTTCCTACATATGACTTGATCACATATAATAATTTTTGTTTGTTAACTTTAAAAAATATATTATATTTAATTAAGTTTGTCTATGACATAACATAATTTTTTTAACGTTTATATGTTTAATTTTATATATGTTTCTTACATATGATTTGAGTCACATATAATAACTTTTATTCTTTAACTAAGAAATAATTAAGTTTTACGTGTTTATTTTTATGTATGTTTAATATAAATTCAAGGTGTCACTTTTCGACATATTCGACATAAATTTAGAACTTGTGTACATTATTATTATTAAAAAAAAACCCTTGTTTTTTCTATGTACGTGTCAGTATAAATTCGAGTTCTTTACGTTTTCGACGTAATTTTTTCTATGTTTTCGAGCATATTTTTATGTAAGAAAAAAATAAGCACATACAAAAAAATAAGCTTGAAAACATAAACTGAATTTATGTCAATACTTATATTTATGTACAAAAAAATAAGCACATAAATTAAAATGAGATAATGTCATTGTAGCACAATGAACTTTTGTAATTTGTCCGACTTTACCATTTTTTTTTTTTTTGCACATTAGGTCAACTAACTTTTAATGTACATGTCAATTGGGTCATTATCATTAGTTTTTAACCATTTATTCATTAACTAGTTATCTAAATTACACGAATGGCCCCTATAATGAGTCGTTATCAGTCATGTTTTAAATCACACGACTAAAACTACCACAATTCTGAAACTCTAAGGGCCAAAATGTAACATTGAATACATATTCCATAAATTCTTTCGTATCCCAACTTACCCGAAGCTCCTTCAAAATCAAAATATTTTGAATCTGATAAATTCATTGTAATTCATAATTTGTTGGTATTATGTTATTTTTGATACTTAAAAGCCTAATCAAATGGTAATCACACTATTTTCTTACTTTAACCCGATGAAATCCTCAAAAAACCCTACCCCAAATCGCTAGAGAGATCGCTCGTTTGCACGAGGTGCCATAGCTTGAGGACCTACGGGAACTTGAAGGATCAAACCGTCGAAATCCTGCTACATGATTTCAACTTCGGTCATATAGTCGAAAAGAGGTTGATTTCAGTTTCAGGTCTCGTCATTTGGGTTTACCTGGTTGAGTTCGGTCGAGTTTTAAATTTGTTGCTCTTGATGAGGGGTTTTGGTTAAGAATTCAAGATGAATTTCATATCCAAATGACAAATCTTCAAATTTCTCATAAGACTTACAAAATGGTGCTTGAATTATATGTTTCGTTTCATGGAGACGATGAATTATGGTACATGAATCCTTTAGATTCGTATGTAGAAACCAAACATTTGGCCATCGGAAGAGCTCACGCTGCATACCATGAAGTATTGTTGGCGATTGACGGTTAATTAGTCGGATCAGTGATTCTTTTCCTGGTGATATTCACCAGTGGAATCAATCCTCTGTTTTGGGAGCCTGTTGTCTCCATTGGAGTTATTGATCTTCCTACTTATGATATCGGTTCGACTCCGCTTCTAGAGCTTCTTTTAGATAACAAAAAACCATTCAATTGGGCTTCAGGTTGCTGATGGTATCTCCTTAGACTTGTTGTGCTCATCCTCATGCACCTCTTCATCCTTCTTGTAACCACCACAGCCCCTCGGGCCTCTAACACCAGCTAAGGCAGCGTCCAACTGCTCAGATCGCTGAGCCAGACCGGAAGTCCACTTCCTATTTCCCAACTGCCTATCTAAACCAATCTTTTGCTACTGGGTTACCCCGACCACCACATCAACCGCCTGAGTAACTGAGGCCCACTCCTCGAACTTGGCGACCACTCAATCAGTGACATACCTAATGATGTTAGGTAACTCCTCGTGTAGGGCTCGCAAAACCTCCATAACAATCCAATCCTGTGGTTGACCCTCCTGAAGACATGGTGCACCATTCACTTCCGATCCCAAATGACAAGAGTTAATAATAGGATCCTCCTTCCTGCAGGTTTCTAAGAGTCCACAAGCTTTGGGCTCCAAGTGAGCCCCCAACTGTGTCACTATGATCTCGGTCCGAGAATCACCGATACGACTATCCACTAGCTCCAAACTCCCATCCTTCACTAAACCAAAGATCACAAGAGTCTGCTCCAAAATACCACGGGTAATCTCCGACAAGATGAACTCCCGCATCTGCTCGCTAATCGACTCAGCACCTGCACCTGAGCCGGACCCCGAACTAGAACCAGAGTCGGAACTAGAACCATCTTCCTGAGTGATCATCTCCAAACTGAAATACGACCATCCATCACTCAAAACATACCCAAGAATCTGTTGGATATAGTGTCTAAGTTCATAACTATATTTGGTATGTACTTGACCCGACCCGGCATGGTCCATTTGGGTTGCACTTCACCCGAACAATTTATGGATAATATTTGAGAATAGTACAAGTTATGATTTATTAATATATTATAAGTTCTAATATATTAATATAAGATCATATTATTTAATTAGTAGTGATCTATAATTAATCTAGGATTAATTTAGAGATCAAAGATATTACTAATTAAATATGGGCTTCTATATTTATATAGTGTGGGCTAAAGCTTATTTGGAATGGGCTAGGCTTGCATGGAAAAGTCCATGGATACTCCATGGAGCTTTAACCCATGGATCTCATGGAAATGAAGAGACATGGGTTTTAGGGATGTAACCCTAATCTCCACACTATATAAAGGAGGCTTTGGTTCTTGAAATGACACTAGTTGACACTTGTTGAGGTGAGGGCAAATTTCAAGATAGTAGTGACTATTCTCTCAAAGTTCCAAGTTTGTGGTGATTTGTGATTTCCACTTGAGGCATCCACACTATTGGTGCTAGGCTCAAAAACTCCAAGCAATCAACTACAACTTCAAGGTAAGTATTTCTTCTAGCTTTATTTGATTCATGTTCCCCATGCCATGCTAGCTAGGATATAAACCTTGGAAAAATTAATTATTTGCATGTATCTTAGACAAACATAGATCCAAGGTTTATTAGGGTTGCATGTACACTTAGGAAGTGTTAGAATGCTCAAA